ATTATTGGACCTGTGAAGATCCGGGTTAGAATTGACCTTCAATAACCCATGCTAGTCGAAGAGGCACCTAGCGGAATCAGGTGGTCAGGTTCGCTGACTTGGTTGACATATCATCGTATCCCAATTGCACAGATCGATGCTCATGGTGTTGATCACTGGATGTATGGTCCAGACTCGATTAATTACAGACCACTGCCATATAGCTGGAATATTGCTGAGTGCGACGAAAAAAACCAAACTCAATCACTCATTATTATGCATCAAATGGCATCATACCGTGTCAGAATCACACTATGACCAATCACAACCTTCGGCTCTGTAATGCTTGTTAAATGTCCTCCAAATCTAATACATTTTTACTCAATCCAAAAATGATTAGATCACATGAAACAAAACAGATACAATATAAAATTTCAACATATTACAGTTCTGAACATAGCAACTGTTCCTTATTATGCTTTACAGAAAATATTGTCAGCCATGAAATCTATCAAAGATTTTCAAAAAAGGAACAAGGAGTGATTTATTCTGCCTTGTTAAAAGACTGATATGGACAGTCATCTCAAGATGAAACATTCATCTTAACATATCAACATCTGACTGACTGATTGAGTTTGGTTTTACGCCGCTTTTAGCAATATTCCAGCAACATCACGGTGGGGGACACCAGAAATGGGCTTCACACATTGTGCCCATGTGGGGATTCGAACCCGGGTCTTCGGCGTCACGAGCCAACGCTTTAACCATTAGGCTACCCCACTGCCCCCAACATCTGATATAGCTTGGTAGAGGTGTATGTAGTTAATAACTAAATGGGAAGAGGTATTTTTGTATCAAATGTAAGGTTAAATTATCTTTACAATTCCAAAACCAGAAATCTACAAAATCCAAATTTTGAAGAAAACGTATGAATAATAAGTTGGGAATCCTTGATAAATCCATGGCTTCTGCTTAGAAAATCTATTTGATTCAAGAGTCGGTTCCAACAGGGTCATGAAACCAAACGCTTTAACTCAAGAACCTGGGCCTTTAACTCAGGTACAGGTCAAGCAATCAATTAATGATAGTCCTATTAACAGACATACAGGATCATGGTACCCTGATGGTAACTGTACATTTACCAGGGTATCCATGATTTCCAGAATCATGAAATCACAGATTTAACGATAGAATCCAGACACACAAGGGAATACGATACTGCTGGTTCTAATTAAATATTACGTGCTGGTATCACTAAACATGCCAAATACAACATCGTAAAATTAAGACGAAAGAAAGGTTCAAATTTTGACACTATGAAAATATTAACCCAAGATCTGAATTATCCACACTGACTATTTGCATCGACTGTTATTTTTACGCTACAGTGACGCGATTGTTCATGCAGGATGGTGACCCATATAGGATGTGCCGCTAATGTGCAGATCAATATTTGTACTCCAGATGATGGAGGCTACAGCCATTGCTACAGCATACAAACGGTCACAGTTCTGTCATGAAAGGCTGGCCCCACCAAGGCTCGTTACAAGTCTTTTAATTACACAAAGGATTTCTTCAGACACCTGTTAAACATCTTATATAACATTACAGGCATGGTAAAAGAAAAACAATATTAACCAAGACGCTTTAAGAATGGTCACAGCTGTTCTGTTTCAATGTTTTTAAGGACATGTATTAAACTAGTTTCCTTAACATGTTGAATAACAAGAAAAAATTGTTGTTTGAACTAGCATGCGTAAACCTTTCGATGTGCCTTGGGGAGATTTCTTCTTCCCATTGTTTGGTTGCTGTCAATATTCCTCATGCACACTACAGCCACATCTAATTCATGATCTCACACTCACAAATGATCCAGTTTTTCATCATCTAACAAACATCACAGAATTCAAAAACACTTGTACAGGAATCCTGAGACTAGAAATGTAATTAACATTACTATGATGAAATCAATAGTCCATTTTTATATGAAAAATAATCCTGTTTCTCTTTCAATGAAAATGACCGTTAAAAGAGTAACTTTCCTTACTTACCATACAGATATTAATGCTATATCCTGGGCAGGCGATAAGTCACCAGTGCATGTCAGTGAGTAATACGCATTGTAAATTCCCTCACACTATAATAGAGTATGGCTCAATCCATGGCGACAATGAGTCAAGTTATTTATAGTTCTCACCCTGGATTCAAAATGCCATTTAAACACACCCAGTGGCCCAACAACCTGGCCCCGACAGATGAAAATGCTGTCAGTGAGCCAACTGCTGGCTGATCTGTACGTGCTGAAGGTCCTATCTCAATATACACCCACCAGCACACATAAAACCTTGCACAATTTAGTCTGTCAACCAAGTCTACATTGCGGCATGTTACCCTGCTGCTTATTGACAGCCCAGTCATAACAAAACAAGATTATTCATTCACACCATGGAACACGGCACCAGCTGATTTTCATATAACATTATGGAGGTCCTGGTAGTCTTTCTCACAGTCCCTGGACCACATTATTTTCCCATCTGCCTAGCCCTTTCTGCAATGCTAAAGCCCTAAATGAAGCAAGTCTAGATTTCCTCCTAATCAGTGGGCACCTTTTCAATTTAAAAGGAATTATTTGTTTCTACCAACATTATATACGTCTAAGGTTCTGAGAACTTTTCCGTGTATATGCTTGAGGGTTGAGTTGGGCTTTACGTCACATCGGCATTATTCCAGCCATATAGTGACGAGAACAAGTCTGCATTAGTAAACATTGTAAGTACAGTCAAAATGAGTTTTATTTCAAAAACATATATTCATTTCATTGTCATTTAAAAACAGAAAAAGTCATAGCACTAAATTTAAAGGCAGGCAATTTGTTAGTCACATTACACAGTTACAATTTATGATACAGATCAACTTCCCTCTGGTAGTTCACTATCAGATGAGCTCTCACGCGGGAGAACAGATCTTTCAGATTTGTTGCTTCATAATGTGAGTCCCTTGCAGACGATAAGTCAACACAGTCAAGCAAAATATGCTTGATGGTGAGAATATGGTATATCATGTTACTCAGCTATTATATAATTCAACTGCGGACAATCGATTTAGCTGCTTACTTACCGGGTACATGATTTAGGACAATGGAGGATCTCCCAGGATAGGATGAAGGTAACTGATTCATTTTAAGAGTAACAATAGGGCGATAGGGAAAATTATATTTTTGGTTGGCACTATCCTATTGGTACTTCACTGTATGTGTATTAAGTATACTTTACTGAATATTTCAATTAACTTCAGCAAACAATGGCAGAAAGTATCAAAACCTATAGTTCCCTTTTCCCAATAGTTCTACATTAGTAGAAGACATAATTAAGAACGACATAACTATATTCGCAACAGTGAAAGTCAAGCACACTTAGAAATAAACCAATCTCATGCTTTTGGAACAAATTCTTGACTAAATACGATGTTCAGTAACTGAAGTGAACAATTTCGATGGTTGTCTTCTACATACAATAGAATGATAATATACTAAAAAATGTTAACAGTAACTTAACAAATATTAAAGAATGAGATACAAGATTAAACAACAATTTTCTTACAATTAGGAGTGACACTTCAGTGTAGGTTCTAACACTGTATCAAGCAAGTGTTGATGACAGTGTTAGACCATGCACTGAAACAATGCTCATTGTAGTAGACGTGTTATTCTCTTCTCCTTACTTAGAGCTCCAACATCTCAAAGAATAAGTATAAGAAGTGTTACCAGCAGGCTTTAGTCACCTTTAGTCCTCTTGAAGATCACATAAAGGGTTGTAAGATAGGTAAACAATGTAATCAGAATCAGACTGGGATGATTCAGCAAATATCGGAAATATTTCACAGAAGGTCATAGTATACAGAAAGTGATGCTTCATGTGAAGTTCACAGCTGTTTCAGAAGGATAATCAATACTGTTACAAGTAAGCCTTCAATTATGATTGTGATCATGTGGCAAAGTTGCACTTACATATTGATCAGTCTAGGAAAATTGTTGAATTTATTAACTTATAGATTCTACTCAGGTGACAAAATAAATTTTATGTTAAAAAGTATTTTGTTTTTGGACTACTGTACACATATCAGACTACTGTAATCATGTGATGTTAACATTGTTATGTGTCACTACTGAGTTTGTGTGAGTGTTTAAGGTGGTGTAGAGGAAAGGGAAGACAAGACCCTTAGGGCAGTGAAATGTATGTCCATTGTATCATCTGACGATCAACCAAGTCATTGATAATGATATAGTCTGTGCATGGTATAAAAAATATGTCTCCTATATGATTCAGCATCACTTACCTCAATCAACATCCGACAAGAAATATGTTTAATGAACTTTGGACGTTCACTGCAATGCCCAAGAATAGTCGGTTACTTCAACTCCTAATATCGCAATCCTAATCCAATGTCAACACGAGAACGAGAATGAACGGACTGGGTCTAGTACGATAGGTCCGGTGAAGTATTCGTATCTGTCAGCGTAGCTGCCTATCACCTTTCATAACGCTCACAGCATTTACACTGTGTTTGCTATTTACACACACGAGATCGTACAGGCATGACATAACCAGATGATAACCTCATAAAAGACGAGAATAGTGACGAAATCGGGAAATCACTCAAAAATTTATTCAATTTCGAGATAAGTATTATACTAGGTCAGGGTGGGCTGTCAGTTGTATCTAAGCAGTGCGGAATAATTTCATGGCCAAGGAGTACAGGGTAAAGTGGTATTAGAAACTCCCAATGACAGACGATAGTGCGCGGGACAAACTCGTTTGACTGGAAGGGAAGCGTCAGTGAGGCAGCAGGTGCCCCTTGCGATCCGGTATGCAGTTATGGAACTTGGAGTTTCCAATAAAACTCAGTGCAAATGCGCAATCAGTTAACAAGTACAAAACACTAGGTCAGTATGTTAATTTATCAGTGTTGAGTATGAATGCAAGAAGTACCTGTAAGTTAGAAATCGAATGAAGAAGACTTACCAAATAGCGAAAGAATCTCTAATTTCTTCAACGGAAGTACAAGCCACTTCCGGACAAATGGGCGGAGTCAAGAGCAGACAACTTTATAATGCTTGGATACATTGCTAGCCACTGCAAAAATTGAATTTTCAATGTTCTCACGGTTGTGGCGATTTAAAAACGCCTTGTTGATCCGCCAACATTTCCTAATCACATGATAACACAAATAACACCAAAATAAAAACAATGTAAATTTTATTCTGATACCTTGCACACATTATGGTGGACATCCATACCTTACAGCTTCATTTGAATACCAAGGTACCTCTCACAGAATACACATAGGTTTCCAGTACACATTGAGAACTCACTGAGCACCTACAATGACAAGTAATGTATTGGTGTATTTCAAACGCTACTGAACACATCGTGTACATGACAATTAACCCAAACCTGTTACTTCTTTCACGAGTGTATGTCAAATATATGAAATGTGCAAGACAATTATCACACAGAAGAGTTGCAATATCAGGCCTTGTAGAATTCACACAAACCAACATAATACTGACCTCAATAAAATCACTAGCTAACTCTATTTAAAAAACTGATTTGAAACAGTGGTAAAATGGTGAAAAGGCTAATTTAGTTGATTTTCCTATCCTATACATTAAACCCTAGCTTACACAGCGACCCTGAAGGTATCTTGTTCTGGGGTAATAATTACAGTGAAATATGTCCTGTTTACAATACTGAACGCATTACACTATAGGAAACACCTGACACAATCTTTCTACTTGATACAGAGTCTGATTGTAACAATGTTACATTTAGAAAGCCTAGTTTGAACAAACCTCTCCTCCTCCCGAAAGAATTCAGTAGATGGCTGGAATATATGATAATTACATAAAACCTCCGATCTATTTCATACATGATTGATATTGACTATTCATAGACTGTCTTCCTACTAGATACGACTATTTGGGTTCATGTACTGAAATGATATATACTGATAAAAAAATCCACTAAAACTCTTACATAGTCAAAATGTATGTTAATATTTCATCAACGTTATCTTGAAACTACGAGAAACTAGGACCTGTCAGTACAATAATATACACCAAAGAAATTAAGATAATTGGAACGTAATTATATCGGACTGAAAATAAAGTTACCACAAAATGAAAAAAATAAGCAACCCGGTATTGTAGCTAAAATGAAACAAATAGGAAATAGTTATCCGATGGCGATATATTTTATACTAGTATCATAGATGCGTTTTTGATCATACATTTCCAGGGTTCTAGTAGCTGTCTAGTGTAACATATGTTATCTTTGGGATTACACTTTCTCAGTAAAGTACAGATTCTAGTACTTTTTTTGGTTTGAGTCCCATTCGGGATTCGAACCCACAACTTCAGAGTCAGGCACCTAATCGCCAGCACATTAAGTCAGACGCCTAGACCGCTCAGCCACCGCGGCTTCCACCGGATGGGACTCAACCCCCCAAAAGTACTAGAATCTGTACTTTACTGAGAAAGTGTAATCCCAAATTTAACATATGTTACATTTGACCACTTTCTAAAATGGCATTGTATATTTCATAGCTGTCTAGTGTCTAGTAACGTCTTAACAAGATACGGAACTTTTCAATCCAATTTTCAACAGCAAAGGACAGTTTTGGAAAAACATGCAAGGCCATTAAATTCCTTACAGATACTTGACTGGCGTTTACTGCCATTCAGCATAATGCATGGACAGATATGCGTGTGTATGTACAGATGAAGAGCCTGAGAACATCTGCCCCGTTTATCCAGTGTATCATATTTCCATTGTATTATGATACACTGGGTAATCGAGGCAGCCATCATTATAATAATAATAATAATAATGGAAATATATATAGCGCTAAATCCAACCACTAAGTGGGTGCTCACTTACTGACAAATATGTAACAATAATGCACAAGACATGTAAGACAATATGGGGCGGGGCGGTAGCCTAGTGGTTAAGACGTTCGCTCGTCACACTCATAACCAGGGTTCGAATCCCTACATGGACACAATGTGTGAAGCCCATTTTTGGTGTCCCCGCCGTGAAATTGCTAAAATATTGCTAAAAGCCGCGTAAAACCTTACTCACTCACTGTAAATACATTACTAGTTCAGACAAAATAAATGTCAACTGACAGCTGTGTATTCTATAAAAAACATTATCTCTGTGTTCAAACAAACAATTAAAGATGTACAAACCTTCCTTGAAAACCCCCCACACCCAAATGCGTGATAGAAAAGATCACAAGCCAGCTATCCAGTACCAGTTCAGGGTTACCGTAACATAATCTAGTGAATGAAAGTATTATCCGTGTTTTTTTATCCATTTTATCCATTCATACCTTTTTGGTCAGTACATGTTTCAAAGTACATTTAAAGGACCATAAAAGGTGTATAAAGAATCGAGATATCTGTGACAAAAAGTTAGTACTGAATAACGAACTTCATGAACGCTGGGTTACTAAGATACACAAATGTACACGGATCGGTTGCCCGGATGTGAAACATTGTTAGGGTCACATGTGATTTCTGACACAAACCGTTGATATTTTCATTTTTTCTGCTTCCAATGCAAAACATTCTAATGAGAGCAATGTGTAATAACTCAAACAACATGACATCAAGTGAAAATACGGATGAAGATGATGGAATCGTGGACTTGGCATCTCGTCCCAACATGAAGTTTTAGTACTGTTCGGAGTTCTTCTCGGCGCTATACTCGGGGCCGGTGCTTGTCGACTGTGGGCCGTTCACCCCTCCAGGCCCGGAGCGCTCCTCCTTCCATGCTATGAAGGCGAAGTAAGCCATGGCAACATGCAAACCCATTGCAACAAAGCCGAACACCTTCAGGTAAAAACAGAAAAGAAAGTTACTATTTTATAGTGAGTGAATGCTGTTTTAATAAACAATAAGCAATGGTGTAGCTAAATCGCAGCAATCTTTATATAATCGGGCATGTGCATGGCGAAATGTTTGCTTCAACAACCTGCCTTCATACAAGTGAAAATGAAGGTGAGAAGAATTGGTTATCGTTACTTAAGCTGCCACACGCCCCTTGTTTCATGTAAATACCGAAGGCCAATATAAAGTCTCTTTCTTGAAATGCTTCGAAAGCACACACCCCCCCCACCCCCCACCTTTGAAAATTCCGGGATCTGCATATGTACACAAAGCTTCACGTCACGCCCAGGAAGTGGATCCTGTCTCTTAGTTATCTCGAGTAATCTTACAATACACACTGCTAAAAGACAAGGAAGAGTAACATTTGTAACAATTCGGAACAATTGGTCAATACACAATGCCTGCCTCGAATATATGCCGGGTAAACGAGCTTTCAGAAACAGAGGAAAGACGATAATTGATATGAATTTCCATCAAATTGCGTTTTGAGAATATTGCTAAATCTGAGCGGTTGACACATGTCATCGTATCCCGGTTGCGTAGATCGATGTTCATGATGTTGATCACTGGATTGTCTGATGCAGACTCGATTATTGACAAACCGCCGTCATACAGCTGGAATATTGTTGAGTGCGGCGTAAAACAACCAGACCAAACCTCACGCCGTCAGCAATAGTGACTGAAGCGCATATAAAATACCCTCACGCAGTTACGGTAAAAAAATGACCGTTATAAAGAAACATCTCCCTCATCGTTATAGCGAAATATGCATTATATACATGCTGGACTTTGTCTGCATCTCATACAAATACTTGATACATTTCAAATACAGAAATGATGTTTACAATACATTTTACAGAAAACGCTAATCTAGGAGATATAAGAACAATTTGACAAAACGTTCATCATCATTCCCATAATTCAGTACTATCATCGGCAAAGATTCCAGTCGTTTCAGCCTGCTGGAGAATAATTACCGTTGATAGGCATTGAGAGTCATAAACTATAATACTGCAGGAGTTATCTCCCATTAACATTATACCGTCACAAGCGACTGGTTATTTGACACACATTCATACTTTGTCTCACAGTCCCAGAGCCACATTAATTTTCTCCCGAGTAGCCCTTTCTGCAATGCTAAAGTTATAAATAAAGTAAGTCTAGATTTCCTCAAGATCGCCCTTCTCACTGGGTCTCCTTTTCTATTTAAAGGAAATATTCGTATCTATCAACATTATATATATAAATAGACTAGGCAAAAGTCTAATTTACACTCAACCTGCTCATTTCCAGTAGGCACTATTAGTTAACTAAAAACTAATACTCATCACAATTGTTAGTAGTGGTTGAGAAAACATCTTTCAAAGGTTTAGTCGGTCTCTTACCGTGTGTATCGGGTCAGCTGCGATGTTTTCAAAAACCTACTTTTTTCTGTGAAGTTTGTTTACTTGTTGCTTAACGCGGTTCTTAACAATATTCCAGTTATATAGGACTGGCCAGATCGAGACCAGATAAATGGTAAAGTATTTGAATGGCATTCAGAAGTGATACACATGAAGGGTGAAAAATTATGGGTGTCAACGTTTGTAATATGAGGGAACACAACGTTTGGTTGTATAATCTTACTGTTTCAGGTGTAGGAGTAAGATTATATTCCGAAACGTCGTGTTCCCTAATATTACAAAAACTGACATCCATAAATTTTCACCCTTTCAGATAAATAATGCATCAATGATTTATGTGAGAAATGCATCTAACGGAAACAAAATTTGAAACAAAATCAGTAATAAATGATGAATAGATCACATGCAAACTAACATTCGGGAAAGAAAGGGTTAAAAACAAAACATTTCGAATTTTTATATTATCTTTAAAAATTCATATTGGAAACATGGGTTGGTGCTAATCTAGGTGTTTCACGCTAGTCGCTTTAGCGGTTAAAGCGTCCGCTCGTCACGCCGAAAACCTGGGTAGGATTCCCCACATAGGTACAATGTGTGAAGCCCATTTCTGGTGTCCCACGCCATGATATTGCTGGAATATTGCAAAAAGCGGCGTAAAACTAAAGTCACTCACTCACTCACTTGATCACTTGAACTTTCATATGACACTATCACTCCACAAACTGTCCACATCCCGTACGTCAAACACACTCATTCATATAACAATAAACGCGCTACACTATGGCAAGCCGTTTTCACATTTATTAAGAATTTAAAGATATCTTCAATTGTTTTAAAGATATCAATAATGTTTTAAAGATATCGGTAAATAATTGAACATATATAATAATAAATTTCTGATATCCAAATAGAATGACTGATATCTCAAAATGTTATAGAGATATCAAGACCATATTTCGTGATATCTCTAAATGCGTTTAAGATATCAATAAAACAATTACGGCCATAGTGTACATAACTGTATTAGAAATTAATTCAGGATATCTTAAATTCAAAGCAAGATATCTTTAAATCAATTTAAGATATCAGTAATTTCTCAATACATAATGTCTATTAGAGATATCTTTAATTCATTTCAAAATATCCATGATTAAATTCAAGTTACCAGCATTTTTTTCAAGATATCATTAATATGCTTCATCATATCCTTAATTCATTTCGCGATATTATGAATTTTATTGCAGATATCTGTGATTTTTCTCTATTCGAGATATCTTCAATTCAATTCAAGATATCTCGAATTCAGTTCAAGATCTCTATTTTCATTCAAGATATCTTTGAAACAATTTACGATATCAAAACGGCTTGGCATACTACACAGTGGTTGCTGGGAAGCTATTCTATTACTGAATCCCAGGTAACGAATACGTCCTCAGATAAATATATACTGAACATCATTGAAAACGCACCAGTCTAAAATTGTCCATATTTTCTTCAAGATGGATTTCAGCATGACAATGATCAATGAATATAACTAACATGAAGTCGAAGGGCATGTCCAGTTGAAAAAATGCTTTAGACAACAAATTCCTGTCCACAGTATGACCCTTAATTCCAAAATGCATCAACATGCAGCCACGCCATGAAAAAAGCGCGAATTTCATTCTGAAATCACACTGACTGTGACATTAAAAGCAGGTGTATGAGAACCGATTCTCATTGCTTCACTAACGATTGTGAAACGAGGACAGAGATGCCGAGGTTAACACCTCACGAAAGAGAACGTGCACTAGGCATGATTCAGGTTGGCACCAGCAGCAGGGACATTGCTCGACAACTTGGACTTGGCCACTCCACCATCGTGCTTCATAGACGACATCAGTAGACAAGCAGCACCCGTGACCTTCAATGACCTTGGCATCAACGTGTTACGACCCTCCATCAGGATCGCCATATTGACCATGTCCATATCAGTGATTGAACACTGCCGACTGCCAGGACTGCGTGGGAGTCATCAGCGCTGACTCCATGCGACGCCGTCTACACGTTACAGGGCTCCATGCTCGACGTCCTTACGTTGGACCAATTCTGATTGACAGACACCGTAATGAACGTATACAATGGGCTAGCAGGCATTTTCAGTAAAGGTCACAACAATGGCATGGTGTGGTAGTCACTGACGAGTCACGTTTTCATCTACGTAATGGTGATGGTCGATTACGTGTTTGGCGTAGACGTGGTAAACGTTATGCTGACGAGTGTGTGGTTCAGACAGACCTTTGGGTGGTGGGAGTGTCATGGTCTGGGGTGGAATAAATTACAATCACAGGACTGCCTTCATGTCTGTCAAGGGAGAGTTAATGCCCTTTATTACCGTGAGCAGATTCTTCAGAATCACATCGTATCTGTCTTCAATCACCACCAAGATGCCCATACTTTTCAACAGGACAACGCACGGGCACACACAACAAGACTTTCCATGCAGTATCTGGCCCAGCAACACATCCAGGTTATTCATTGGCCAGCACAGTCGCCAGATGTATCCCCCATGGAGCACTTGTGGGACGAAATTGGTCAAAGTCTTTCGCGGCGACAACAGATGCGAAACATCCGGGAACTTGAGGCTGCACTACTGCAGATTTGGAATGCCATCCTCAAGAACTCTATTCGGACGCCTATTGACTCAATGAGGAGACGTTGAACTGCATGTGTCAATGCAAATGGCGGTCACACGCGATATTGACTTTTCGATTTGACCCCACGTGTGTTTGATCCTTTCTGACTGTGGAAAATTTCAATGAATGAGCGTCTTTTCTGTGTTGTTGTTTTTGTCAGTCGTCCATCTGTTATTATCAACTAAAAAAATATCAATTCCTTACACGTGCTTTTAATAATCTGAACTTTTATAAGTGGTGCGTTTTCAATGATGTTCAGTATATTTTCTACTCCACTTTTACTAGCAAGAATCAAATGTCATTCTATTTACGCAGACACTTGCCATATAAGGAGAATCATTTTTGTATATCATGTAAAGAAAACAAAATCCCTATCGACAGTGGAGTAGGTAATAAGTATGAGGTAAATAAAGACGCCACATCTCAACAGGAAATATACATAAGATAACTACTACCGTATTTCCTTGATTAAAGGCCAGGCGTATACTAGTATTTCCTTCAGACACACTTTACCCCAGACGTTTAATATCAAACGTTATAACGGGAAGAATTCTTGTCATGAAACATCCAAGTGTTTAATCGCAAAGATAATAACGGGAAGAATTCCTTGCATGAAATATCCCGGTGTTTAATGGAGGAAATACGGTACAAAGGGAGTGAACTGTTACCCCGGCTGCATAGTTCCCTCCCTGACGACAGGCTTGTGCTATCACCAGGATGGATGCCACGAGGTAAAAAAACGACCACACACCCGACCATATGAGATCCTGAAAACAGACAATTCGTATATATCAATGTTCAGGACCCGTGAAGGCAAGGTTAGAATTGATCTTCAGTAACCCATGCTTGTTTTAAGAGGCGACTAACGAGATCGGGTGGTCAGGCTCGCTGACTTGGTTGACACGTCATCGTATACTAATTGCGTAGATTGATGCTCATGCTGTTGAGCACTGGATTGTCTCGTGAAGACTCGATTATTTACAGACTGGCGCCTGGAATATTGCTGAATGCGGCGTGAAAGTAAACTCACTCACTGTAAATAATCGAGTCTTGACCAGACAATCCAGTGATCAACAGCATGAACATCAATCTACGCAATTAGGATACGATGACATGATGTGTCAACCAAGTCAGCTAGCCTGACCACCCGATCCCGTTAGTCGCCTCTTACGACAAGCATGGGTTACTGAAGATCAGTATTCTAACCCGGACCTTCACGGGTCCGATTATTTACAGACCGCCGCTATTTAGCTTTAATATTGCTGAGAGCGGCGTTAAACGCCAAACAAAACAAATTAATGTCCAACTTCCTCTAGACTTAACGTTTGCGGTACAAATTCGAGTAAATATTCAGGAATCACAACCACAACTATAATAAAATATCAGAAATATTTTTTTGTTGTCAGTTCATATTGTCCGAAAACTGAATTTTGTCTACCGAAACCAAATTCTGATACGCTTCATGGTAATTTGTTACAACATTTATGAAATAGTAACTCAGATCCGCGGTTCTGGGGTCCGTTGCACAAAATGATCTGAGTGCTAGGCCTGTCCTTATCCTATGATAAAGTATGGGGAATACATTCATCTTATATCTCTTTGTGAAAGCGGACCCTGTAGACGGCCTAAACTCGATTTTATGAATCCAGTTTCATGCATCAACGGGAGGTTGGGTGGCCTTGCGGTTAAAGCGTTTGTTCGTTACGCTCATGACCCGGGTTTGAATCCCTATATAGGTACAATGTGTGAAGCCTGTTTCGGGTGTACCGCGTTACTATCTCTTAACGCCAGTGTAATTGTATGAACACGTAACTTACCCATATCTTCCAGGGGACAAACTTGAATATGATTTTTTCGTACAGAACCAGCATGAAAATGATGTAGTTGATGAGGCCAGTGAGGAAGTCAGACATGGAGACGAAGCCGTAGAAGCTGTAGCCGGAACCGTACGCGGCATCGCAGTAGATGTCGGCACGCCCGGCAGACATACAGATGAATCCGATCAGGGAAATGATCTGGTAACACAAGTCACTGTCAATCGGCTTTGCTATTTTCTGGTATATATATTTTCCAAGTTACTAATGAAACCTTCAGGTCTGTTCTACATCACATACACCAGTGAAATACCGTTAGTTCGAAAGCCTGCGCCGTAAATACTTTAAGGGTTTTACGTCCAACCCTCCCTCCACCCACACAGTGGTGATTGCATGCGTATCATTACCCAGAGTGTGTTTCCATGTTCGGACTTACACCGTTTAACCTTTAATACCAGCAATTACACACTACCGCTGAGTTACCATGCCGCACTTTAATACCAACTCAGTTCCGAGCCAAACAGTCAATTTTCATTCACTTAACATGTGAATACATACATGTTCTACGTGAAATAACCTGAGCGCCTACTGGTGTGATGAATCTCTCAATTCCCTCCCTCTGGAAAGAGGTCATGAACTGATGAAACAATTGAAAAAAATGAACAAATGAAAAATGACCTTATAGGGGATAAAAGTACTCAACAACATCCGCCAATCTGAAATCGCTTAAATCCTTTCTTCTCATATCCCTCACAAACCCCATTTCAAGTCGCCTACTTTCTTATTAGCTGTAAGGAGGCCATACATGCTCTTGCATTAGATGGTATCAATGCATATACTCCACTTCAAGTCACCTACAGTTGTAGAAGCAGTGAAGATGCTCTTCATGCTTGCTCTTTCAATGGGTGATATCAATGTGTATGCCCTATTTTATGTCGCCTACCGTTGTAGCAGCAGTAAGGATGCCATGCATGCTCGTGCATCAGTGATATGAATGTATATGCCCTATTTGAAATCGACTTCCATTATAGCATGCATGAAATCGATTTCCGTTATAGCATGCATGAATTCGACTCCCGTTATATATAGCGGCAGTGAGGATACCATGCATGCTCTTTCAGTGGGTGATATCAATGTGTATGCCCTATTTTATATCGCCTACCGTTGTAGCAGCAGTAAGGATGCCATGCATGCTCGTGCATCAGTGATATCAATGTATATGCCCTATTTGAAATCGATTTCCGTTATAGCATGCATGAAATCGACTCCCGTTATATATAGCGGCAGTGAGGATACCATGCATGCTCTTTCAGTGGGTGATATCAATGTGTATGCCCTATTTTATGTCGCCTACCGTTGTAGCAGCAGGATACCATGCATGATGCCATGCATGCTCGTGCATGGGTGATATCAATGAAATCGACTTCCGTATGAAATCGATTTCCGTTATAGCATGCATGAAATCGACTCCCGTTATATATAGCGGCAGTGAGGATACCATGCATGCTCTTTCAGTGGGTGATATCAATGTGTATGCCCTATTTTATATCGCCTACCGTTGTAGCAGCAGTAAGGATGCCATGCCTGCTCTTGCAGTAGGTGATATCAATGTATATGCCCCACTTCAAGTCGTACGTCTCCCTTCCGTCAGTGCCTGTATTTGTATTGTCTGGTTCGTTGCTTGCCATATTGGATATCTGCAAATAGAGACATTGTTGTAAATATTTCTAACAACGCTGAAAGAAACACAAGCCTTAACACTGTTGTAGAATCATTGCGAGTTAGTGAGTGAATCGTGTTTGACGTCATTGTCAGCACGTTTTCAGTTAAAAAACAGCGTGTTGTAAACAACAGAGTCAGGACCAGGCAAACCAGCCGCCGAAAGTGAGTGAATATGGTTTTACGCCGCTTTTAGCAATATTCCAGCAATATCACGGCGGGGGAGACCAGAAGTGGGCTTCACATATTGTGTCCCATGTGGGGAATCGAAACCGTGTCTTCGGCATGACGAGCGAACGCTTTAACCACTAGACTACCCCATCGGCCCCACACACCGAAAGCATGAGAAACGGTCTTTCCCCTGTCAGAATACCAGAAACATGGATTAACAATACAAGGTACAACTCTAGCCAGTACTTATCCAGTGTTTCATATATGGCGTTCACAACTTTCACGTTATTTAGATATATACTAAAAATATACTATCTTAGGGTGTGTGACTGGTCATATGTAATCTCGTTCTGAAATGCCTCTAAATGCCTCAAATCTTTGAATAGCGTTTTTTATTGACTTGTATTTGATGTTTTGTTTCTGGGCCCATCCTGTCCAATACGAACTTTAAAAAAGTGAAAGTGGTGACGAAATTGTTTATGTTCAAACTTTCTAATTACCACCGGACCTTATAATTACACGAAAATAGTTTAATTAAAATATGTCTCTGTATGATCTGTACAAGTAAATAAAGAGACCCGAGAAATCTGCACTCAAAGGTGGCACAGACCAGTTGTTGAAGCCTTCGCTCGTCACGCTAAAGTTTCGGTTTCGATTCCCAACTGAAGCCAATTGCTTGTACATTGTGTTGTATTGTTGGCATTGTTAAAAATGCAAAACCATACACATACAAACATCGACAAGTTTGGATTTACAGTTAAACCAAGCAGTTTGGGCTTTATTCACCATAAACGCTATAACATTTTAAACAAATATGCCACAAATATACAAAATGACACAATATTTGCTGTTCACCCTACTGCCCCAAATTTAGAAATATAAATTTATTCTAAATAAAGTTTATTCATTTCGTCGACCAAGCGTGACCATTATTTTGCGTGTCTACGTCAGCATACGACATAAAAGACAACATCACAATGTCTGCATGTTAACGCCTATCTGCTAAACCCAACACCCCATCACAGTATACACGCATGTGCTTATACATATGAACGATGTGTCCCAATCATAGATGACTTGTACATCATCATCAGTTCGGTTATTTTAACCCGTTTCAGCGTCCTTTCAATCAACACAAACACAAATACTTGTCCGCCAACCAAACAACGCCGTTCCCGGAAGTTTGAAATTAATATGTTTCGCTACGACGGTTACAACGCAGGTTATTATGAAAAACGTGCATGATCGCATCTGCATGTGATGTGTACAGATGACCTGAATACAAAACCCCAGAAATTTACACAGAAAGTCGAATGTGTGTCTACTCGTCACATAGACACAAATCTCAGCCTAAACCATCTCGGATAAACCTAAACGCCTAGGTTTAGATTACAGTATATATTCGTTGTGCGACACTCGGAAAGGTAACTGTTATAACGAGGATTGCATGTAAACAAAACCATTGATAGACTATTACACTCTCCGGCTGAGACTATCGGTAAGTACTTGGTAACAACTGAATGTTGGACTGAACTCTACATATCGGTACTGACTGATTGAGTTGGGGGACGACTTGCTTACCTTGTGTTCAGATCCGCCCCTGTGTGGGTTCTGATGACACGTGACTAGAAGGAACGCCGGTAGGGGGAGGTGTGTGTGTGGCTATCACTATCTGTGAAACGGGACCTCGCGTGGACCTGGAGTATCATACACACGGGACATGACAGAGCTGCTATTGATAGAACAGAACTAGACTAAGGCTTAGTCTCTGAATATATATAATTTGGATAGTAACAAACAAGCCCATTTATATTGAAAAGGAGCCCTAGGGAGATCGATTTAATGATGTGTAAGCTATTCAAAACTAATTTTACAAATTACGCAGTTTCACATTTGTTAAACAGTCGTGGCATGTTATCAGATATCGTATAACACATGCCTGTTTCAATAGAATGAGATCGAGTGCAGATAGTTTTAAGGAATGGTCACTAATATAGACTGCTGTTCAATAAACAGTAAAATAGGGTTCCTGTTGATATTTCGGATGACAAAACCGGATGACAGTATCGTCAATAAACATGAAAGTCATTGGGTCATGAGGGCCTACAGCAAACCTGGCATTGTGTTTGTTCCTGTCAATTTTTATCGCTAACATTTCATTTCCTGCTGGATCACGGTACAAACTCTGTACCGGAACGATGCACTTACAACATAACAGAAGTTGTTATCGATAAATTTGTCAGTATTGTACTTCCCAACTTCTAAAATTAAAATGAGTGTTTAACACCGCACTTGGCAATATATTCCAGCTGTATGAAAACGGGTTCTAGGCATAGTGGTGGTTTGTTGTTTTACGCCGCACTCAGCAATATTCCAGCTATATGACGGCGGTCTGTCAATAATCGAGTCTAGACCAGACAATCCAGTGATCAACAGCATCAGCAACAGTCTACGTAATTGGGATACGATGACATGTATCAACGATTCGGCAGAGAAATACTTTTGTGCCATAGTATTCCTTATATGAACCTATCTGTGTATAACATTAGCATTCAGATATTGTTATAAAATAAGTTAACGAGTCCAAATATTATCGTGTAATATGACAACTGATATAGTGTTGTGTTCGCTGTGACAAAAAGGTTTCGATATTCAAATATAACATTTAATCAAAGTGACTACGAAGTAGGCCTGCATATCACTCACAACAGAAATAGATACATAATAATGTTTTGTTTATTTTCCTACACATCAGTTGCGAGAGCAATGTTTATGCTAACGAAGTTTTCGTCAATTTATATAGCAAAGATGATTTGCTTCAATTAAAACATTCGAAGATGAAAAAGAAATTAGGCCTATTGCTGAAATGATTAGTAAAATATCATTAAAATCTTGGAGTATAGACTTTCAAAATTAGCATATTAATTAACAATGATCAGTTTTTCATAAAATAATAATTCTGAAACGTTGCCGATAAACCTGGAATCGTGTTCAGATGTTTTCATAAATACACTCACACGAACGCCCAAGTGCACTTTGCGCCCTATTGGATAGTGTTAACAAAATCACGTTTCGCGAAGGCCGGTATTGAAACGCCAATTACATCACTTGTATTTCATATTCAGCGGCGACAAATCAAACTGAATTCTAAGGCTGGGACGGGTACTCGGGTACTCGAATCCGGGTCGTGTACAGCTGGAATCGAGTCCTATTTCTAGGAATCGAGTATCCGGAAAGGGAGAGAGCTCTGTAATGACAAGGGCAAACAATAGCTGGACCAGACAACCCAGTGATCAAGAACATGAGCATCGATGTGCGCAATTAGGAACCGATGACATATGTCAATCAAGTCAGCGAGTCTGACCACCCGATCCCGTTAGTCGCCTCTTACGACAAGCATGGGTTACTGAATATCAATATTCTAACCCGGAAATTCACGGGTTTTTACATCATTGGTATTGTCCGATTTATGGAGCATAGTTTTAATGACTGTAATTTATCTGTGCATGAGCAGAAATAGATACATAATAATGTTTTGTTTATGTGAGTAGTTAAGTTACAGTAGCAGCAGGAACGAAACGTTCGTTGTTATAACGAGGAATGTAAGTAATGGTGTTACTCTCTATATTGGTTAAACAGACGTAAATTAAATAGCATGAGGCCAGTTTTAATGTCTTATTACCAACTGTTCAAGTTTTCTACAGTAATCTCTGTCAAATCGTGATTGAATATTCAGAAAGTTCTCCCGAATGTATTTCTTACATTTCCGGGTACACGATTCCGATTCGGGTACGTACATGCGGGTACTCGATTCCATTTTTTCCTACTCGTCCCAGCCCTACTGAATTCCTCATACATTTTTGAATCTAATTACAACTGGTCTTTGTTACCAATACCAAGTGTCTAGATAAAGTGAAACGAAAGATATTGGGGGTGGAAACAAATGCTGTGCTCGAAAGACAACACCTGTTTGAAATGTAAACAAAGACAATTTCAGACTTTACACTGTGTAGCATTTTCTCAAATTTTCAGACACCCATTTGCATGGAAAGAGCATAGTAGCATGAATGTGATGTGTTTGCACGAAACTGTCAAGTTTCTGTCCTGCGTGACGCCATGACTGACGCAAAATCACGCAGAACAAAAACGGTAATAATCGGCATTTCTGGCTTCTTCTCTTTCTTAAAATGGGAGTGTATTTGGCAATTTCTCTGAGGTGAAGGTCGGTAGAATAAGAGTATATACAATCACCATATCCCGCCGATTACACATTCAGTATCATAATGTAAGCGTTCGGATATTTTTTTCATGAAACTAATTTAATTATCTACATTGGTGTCCTCCCATTACGAAGACAGGCAGTTCGCAGACACCTTAAAACAACAACATTTACGGTTCAATGAACAGATTAGCTGCTACCCGTTACCTACACATTATAAAGGAATAGTCCAAATACGCAAGAAGAAAACTGAAGCTGTATTATTTACTTTGAAAGATGTCCGAAAAGACATTTGAATTTTGAATGTTGCTGCAAAAAACCCCAATAAAAACAAAACAAATTTGATTTTTTACAAACATTCTGCTTTAACCTTCTCGTCTAACGGGAGTTGGCATCATCATGTTGAAAACATTGTCAAAATGACATCTAAAATGATTGGAGCATTTCAGAAATTAAATTTCCGACTGAACAGGACAACACCAGTTTTTCCTCAGGATTTACTCCCACCTGTAGTAGGCAACCAGATAAGTTATGAATTAAGAAACTCCAATAAGTTTAGCCAACCATGTACAAGAATGAGGTACTAAACATCATCTTTTATTCCATCAGCAGTTAAAATATAGAATAATAATCCGATAGCTATTAGGAATTGCAACTCTGTTGCATCATTTGAATCTCATATCCACGTGAAAGAAAAGTGTGCACCTAAATATTATTAATATGGAATAAAGAAGTTAAATGTTTTGCACACAGGATTAAGATATATATGACGAGTACAGTTAATTATGATTTATTTAGAATAAATATAAAAAGTGACGCATCATGTCAATGTGGCCATGGATGTGAGAATGTTTTTCATTACTTCCTTGAATGTCCATTGTTTACTAATCAAAGTAAACTATTAAAATCTTTAGAAAGTATTGTTAAAATTACAACATTGACTGGTCTTAATCTTATCTTTCATGGCAATGCAGGTCTCCCATTAACTGAAAAACAGAATGTTCTCAAATATGTACATATCTCTCTGCCATTTATCTATATCTCTCAAACACAAAGTGCCTCAGTTAACTTAACATATCCTATTTTGGGGAGAGGGCTTTTCTAAGTTGGATAAGTTGTGCCCAAACCTTTTCTTGAATGCATAAAATGTTTTAATCAATAAACACAATCAAACCTCTCAGTGACAAACATGTTTTTATATTCGATAATAATTGATAGTAAAAAAAAATTTGAGAATAGAAGAGAGATCATCATTTTATCACAACAAAGTTCTATTTACACACAATCAAACTTCTCAGTAACAAAACCTCTTTCAGGCTCACCCTACTCTACTCCTTGGACAGTGGACTGTTCTATTATACCCGTAGGTGTAACCCTAATTAACCTTCTAGTTCAGTGTCTGTCAACTGGCTGTCTGTCAAATGGGTGTCTGTCAATTGGGAGATAACCTCTACATTTAGCCTTGTTCAATATCATATCATACGTGGGTATAGGGTGTACGTGTTATATTCTGTGAAAGTGTTTGTTTGAATAATATTTCCCGAAGAAATTCACACATTTAGTGTAGTAAAGCATATATAAACCTTTCCACAAGTGTTAAAAGACGAAACGTAGGCATCATGTACTTGTACAACATGTATTTTAGTTCCTATGATGTGCATAGTTACAGTTTCGTATGTAACTCTTCGTCAGAAGTCCAGTCCACGATACACCCTATCCTTTCTTTGCTGAACTGGCATCATGAAAGCAGTGTTAGCCATGAACGCCATTTGCGAGTAAACCACACTGCTAAAAAGTTAGCGGCGGTCCTTAGGTATGTTAACTTATTGTCACGTTAACAGACTGTTAAAAGTTGAGTTTTGAAGAACAAGATAACCCTCTGTTATTAGGTAACAGTCGGTTAAATGTACTTAACGGCTGGTTAAAAGATAACCGAGTTTTGAACAACCGGGTCCAGTCGGATAACTCATACAAGTGAGCACTAAAATTAGGGACCTAAAAGTGTACCTAAGGTGTGTTATTTAAACTGTGATGTAATTTCCATTACAACAAGTATAAACGATGTTACCTACTGATCAGAATGACTTATCAGTACCCCAACCCGACCGACCGCGACCACCCCACCATAGGCCTACCCCATCCCACACCCTCTCCCTCTCACACACATGCACACACACTCCCTAACATACATAGACCCGATATTTGAACCTTTCAAACAGACATCATGTGCATGTCAAGAGAGACACGCACGTTAATAGTGGTGCTCAGTCATGGGTATCACTTCCCCATGTGTTTCTAATTATCTCAGTACATTATGGCCTGGTCGGACGCGCTAACGAACCCTATGTGACAGTTATATTACAGAACCATTGAAATACATGTTACAGTAGGGTCAATCTTGTAACACTCAATTTACCCATTACCAACCATTTACGCATGTACTAAATATATGACAAACCTAACCCTGGTCATACGAGATTTCAAAGATATTAAAATGCATGTCCTACAATCACAGCATTTACATATGTTACACATGCTAGAAAACACATGAAAACAATGGCCAGATTTACACACCTGTGAACAACATATAAATACAGAGTTGAGTGTTCGTTTATTTTAACACCCCTTTAAACGTGTGTAAATCTGACGGCCAGATGATGCATAGATTTCAAACGTTGTTCATATGGCCGCCGGATGACACGTTTATTTACTAACGTTAGAAAATTTGGGTAATACAGTGATTTCGTGTGGTGATGGATTCAGCAGAAAACTATGATGTGGGGTCAAATTTGGTTTAAATATCTAAGCTTATTGTAAGCATGGTTCCTAGGTTTCAGTATGTTATTGCATCTTGTGCATACCTGCTACTGACAGGTGTTGTTTATTTGTAAATGACTCGTTCCATGATTTGCAAAATGGTTGATTGGTGCCATGAAAACCATTTTTATGGTCACTCATGTATCAAGTGCATAATGTTAGAATAAAGTGGCTGTCTTCCTAAAGAGGGGTTGCCATATTAATATTTATCCAGTTTTAAAAGAGATACAATTTCATATTATAAATCTGCGTTTGAGTAAAGTTGTGAATTTTTGTGATCCTTATCAAAGTGTGAGTAGCGTATATCAAAATAGCATGACGACACAGATAGAGAGAAGTCAAATGGCCTTGGCCGCAGTGCGACATTTAACCATCAACTTTTCATATTACGTTGAATATATCAGTCACATCAGAACATTGTAAAAATAACCAAAATACAGTCTCCTAGAAAAAATGCAATTGTAAACATACCTCATTACATTACCACTCATTGTCTGTATATATTTTAGTGTATAATATTTTCCTCAACGTCTGAGATCAAGATGGAACATGTATTGTTAGTGGACTAATCTGCTTATACATGTAATTCGAGTTCTTTTAAACGAAGGTATGCCAATTAAACGTCCCGTTAGCTTAATGCCCAACACACCAAACATGTCAAACCGCCAAGAACATGTCAAATCTCTACTGTACCTTAATTTACTCCAAGATGAACTCTTGAACACATCAGGACTCACTCCAGCCTGGCTGTTACTCTAAACCCCAGGGTCGTGTGTAGGTTATATTACACAAGCAAATCCAACCCAGCAATCGCCATATGACATTGGCAATGTCAGAGCCTATACCTCAGTTACACGTGTGGCTTGATTAATCCCGTTATAAGTAATCCCTGTGTGAGACAATCGTGCCCTAGATACAGTCGAGTACCGGGAGGTTTCACCATGAGTAAGCAAATGGCTGCGATATTCTGTTTCCGTGTTGGTGTGTATTGCTCAGTGAGCGTATTCTTCGCACGGCCAGGATTACTTATGAAAGTTAAAACTGTAATACGATACAGCAGAGTTGCGATATGCCTGTCATGTACACTCAGGCATTGCCGTCGCATCTGGGCCAGCCGAACGCTTACCGTATTACATCCATTAAAATCTGTCTTTTCTTAGAAAACATCTGCATTTGTTTTCAGGGATCAATTCAAATTCTTTTCGCGCCCGTTTTACCTTTTACGCCAAACTGAATCTGCTCGACGGATGATCGAGACTGGTTGTTGTCAAGCCTTGAGGTTCTGTACTATGTTGCAAATCATTGTTTAGTGTCCCCTTGAGGAGGCACAGAATGAATGAGTAAGCTTAACACAGCAATACGTTAGCCACATAGGAAAACACGCAAATACAGAAGGCAATACATGATATGAACATACTTTGGGCGGTCCTGTCCACTGTTAGCACACGCACCAGCCTTGCTCCAAGGCTATACTGAGTGCTAACCCCATGCATCTATAAGTAATTCTATCCCTTAAAGAGGCAAGTCTAGATAAGTGGACCACTGGCCTTGCTCCAAGACTATACTGAGTGCTAACCCCATGCATCTATAAGTAATTCTATCCCTTAAAGAGGCAAGTCTAGATAAGTGGACCACTAGCCTTGCTCCAAGACTATACTGAGTGCTAACCCCATGCATCTATAAGTAATTCTATCCCTTAAAGAGGCAAGTCTAGATAAGTGGACCACTAGCCTTGCTCCAAGACTGTACTGAGTGCTAACCCCATGCATCTATAAGTAATTCTATCCCTTAAAGAGATAAGTCTAGATAAGTGGACCACTAGCCTTGCTCCAAGACTATACTGAGTGCTAACCCCATGCATCTATAAGTAATTCTATCCCTTAAAGAGGCAAGTCTAGATAAGTGGACCACTGGCCTTGCTCCAAGACTATACTGAGTGCTAACCCCATGCATCTATAAGTAATTCTATCCCTTAAAGAGGCAAGTCTAGATAAGTGGACCACTAGCCTTGCTCCAAGACTATACTGAGTGCTAACCCCATGCATCTATAAGTAATTCTATCCCTTAAAGAGGCAAGTCTAGATAAGTGGACCACTAGCCTTGCTCCAAGACTATACTGAGTGCTAACCCCATGCATCTATAAGTAATTCTATCCCTTAAAGAGGCAAGTCTAGATAAGTGGACCACTAGCCTTGCTCCAAGACTGTACTGAGTGCCAACCCCATGCATCTATAAGTAATTCTATCCCTTAAAGAGGCAAGTCTAGATAAGTGGACCACTGGCCTTGCTCCAAGACTATACTGAGTGCTAACCCCATGCATCTATAAGTAATTCTATCCCTTAAAGAGGCAAGTCTAGATAAGTGGACCACTAGCCTTGCTCCAAGACTATACTGAGTGCTAACCCCATGCATCTATAAGTAATTCTATCCCTTAAAGAGGCAAGTCTAGATAAGTGGACCACTAGCCTTGCTCCAAGACTATACTGAGTGCTAACCCCATGCATCTATAAGTAATTCTATCCCTTAAAGAGGCAAGTCTAGATAAGTGGACCACTAGCCTTGCTCCAAGACTATACTGAGTGCTAACCCCATGCATCTATAAGTAATTCTATCCTTTAAAGAGGCAAGTCTAGATAAGTGGACCACTAGCCTTGCTCCAAGACTATACTGAGTGCTAACCCCATGCATCTATAAGTAATTCTATCCCTTAAAGAGGCAAGTCTAGATAAGTGGACCACTAGCCTTGCTCCAAGACTATACTGAGTGCTAACCCCATGCATCTATAAGTAATTCTATCCCTTAAAGAGGCAAGTCTAGATAAGTGGACCACTAGCCTTGCTCCAAGACTATACTGAGTGCTAAGCCCATGCATGTATAATTCTAGGTATAGTAATAGACAAGTCTATATAAGGAACAATACTATGGACCCCAGTCTGTTATTTATACAGTCTCTTTTTTAAAATTATCATTTAAACTATTAATTATTACCTTAGAGGCTTGTGCAAGTCTACACACGCACCATTGTCGTGAATGCTATAGTTAGCTTTGACGACATTTCCAAGACTTCCGGAATTGATACTCTATTAATACTTCTTTAAGTAGCATTTCAAACGAATTTCTGCCGATTGTGATAGGTTCAAAATGTCTGACAATTTTCTAAGTTTACAAGGGTTTGAAATGCCCCTATTATGTGACAGTGTAACAATGTTCCACGTCTAACACATTTCATATGTACATAATCAGTGATGGTCTATTGTGTGCTTTATTTAGACAGAGCTCTGAAATGCACCACAGGGTATTACTCCCCAGTGGGACTTTCCCCTGTATTCTGTAGACCCGTGAAGATCCGGGATAGAATAGGTCTTCAGCAACCCATGCTTGCTACAAAAGGCGACTATGCTTGTCGTAAGAGGCGACTAATGGGATCGGGTGGTCAGGCTCGCTGACTTGGTTGACACATGGCATCGGTTCCCAATTGCACAGATCGATGCTCATGCTGTTGATCACTGGATTGTCTGGTCCAGAATCGATCATTTACAGACCACCGCCATATACCTGGAATATTGCTGAGTGCGGCGTAAAACTAAACTCACTCACCCACTCTGTATTCTGTCCAAAGGAGCTGGGGAATCTTCTAGAGTTGTTTTCTCAGGTATTTAAGGGGAGTAATCTCTTGCCTCTCATCTCACATTACATCTGCAGAAATTGTACCAGTGCGGAATTAAACCCGGGTGTTCGACGTGACGAGCGAACGCTTTAACCACGAGGTTACCCCATCATTATCCCCTGCCAGGTTCCAAGGTAGATACCTGTTGCAGAGAGGGGAATATTAGCATCACTATCTTCATTGCTACAATCTATGCTCTTGTATTGACAAGGAGGACCGAGAGTGACCACTCCGTACAACCGAACGCTCGGTGTCGCCATCAGCATTAACAGCGCTGGGTTACCGAAGAGATGCGCTCACTGTGTTCTGTGAGCATCCGGGCTTGTCCACATTTTATCATTAACCCGTCAACACCGACTGAATCGTCCACGTTGGGTTTGTAACGTGGGGTTCTGGCAAACGTCGCAGCTGGGTACAATATCTGCTGTTTTGGCAACGTACACAATGTTGGAATGTCTGCGACTTGTAAGTCACAAACAAAATACGTGAAGGTCCGGGTTAGAATTGATCTTCAGTAACCCATGCTTGTCGTACGAGGCGACTAACGGGATCGGGCGGTCAGGCTCGCTGACTGGGTTGACACATGTCGTATTATTTACAGACCGCCGCCATATACATATGTAGCTTGAATATTGCTAAGTGTGGCGTAGAACTAAACTCACTCGCTCACGTTTCAAACTATTTACATTGTCCTTTGGAAAACGACCCCAAAGGACCAAGTGTGTATTGTCGTTTGTAAACCAATTAGTTACACCCTCTTCAGTCTCTCTTTTTGTGGACCCGTGAAGATCCGGGTTAGAATTGATCTTCAGCATTAACCCATGCTTGTCGTAAGAGGCGACTAACGGGATCGGGTGGTCAGGCTCGCTGACTGGGTTGATACATGTCGTCGTATCCCAGTTGCGTAGATCAATGCTCATGCTGTTGATCACTGGATTGTCTGGTTTAAACTCGATTATCTACAGACCGCCGTCATATAACTGGAATATTGCTGAGTGCGGCGTAAAACTAAACTCAATCACTCTTTTTGTGCGCGCACGTTGAAATTGCTACAAATATTCTCTGCTAAACGTTTTGCTGATATTCGTTCAAAATAAATACCCTTCCTTCTCACTTCTGCATGCATCGTGTGTGATTTTTGCGGTTAGAATAAAGTAAGGCAAAGAAATACTGAAAAGTGCGTGAAACGAAAAAAACCAAACAACAAAACCAAAAACACAACCACGTGGGAGCGTGGCGGCCAAACACGCCAACATGAATTGTTGGTCTGTTAAAGCGATGGGCTTTCATTTGTCTGTCATCACCAAACATGCCACGACCGACACACGACTGACAGGAGCTCAACGCAATAACGCCGTCAGTCGACTGCAGACAGGCAAATCGCACGGCCATAACCAGGTTTTTTCCAAAGTGTCGCCAAGCACCATTCCAAGACTATGGATGAGACGCAGGGGCCAACACAGTTGACCACGTGTCACAACTACAGCGCAGAAGTTCATACGGGCTCTTCACATACGTGACAGACACACCACGGCCACCTCTACAACTATATTAACATCAGGATAGCGTAGGGTTTCAGACCAGACAGTGAGGAACCGACTTCACGCCGCAGGTATTCGCACGTTCTGACTGACCAGCATCATCGGCTACGACGGCAATGGTGTCAAGGACACAACAGCGACAGAAACTAATCATGTTTTTTGCTTCTCTGTTTAGACGGGAGACGTCGTGTTTACGCTATGCTCGAAACTGCATACAGGAAATGGACAGGTTTGGTGGCGTAAGTCTAATGATGTCAGGTCCGCATATTCAATATGGTTTTCCCGACTTTAGCCATTCCTGTCACCTTCAGTATATGATATTAGCGCCTTGTGCAGGTACTATAGTGCCGAGTATAAAACTCGCTTAAAGAGCTCAGAGCTAAATGCTCGAAACATGGTTAAAGCCATCAATACTTTTGCTGTGCCATTCCTTTCCTATTCCTTTTGAGTGGTTGATTGAACCAAAGAAGACATCCAGAGTCTTGGCCATCTGACCAGAAGGATCATGTCTGATAACAGAGCCCGCTACCCTTGTCCCTCTCTAAGTCGTATTTATATGCCAATCAATTCTGGAGGTCGGGGTTTGATTAATGTGGAGGCTCTTCATGATACAATGTTGTTTTGGTCTTTTGCACATATTTGTTTATCGGATGATCCTCTAGTGATGCATGTCAAGACTCATGATGAAAGCAAGGAATTCCACTGCTATTTTAAGCGTGCCAAGGTTGTTGGGCAGAATCTGAGATTTCAGGTTGATTTTGTTGATGGCGATGTACTGCTGGACGGTACAG